GAGAGAGAGAGAATGTGCGCACATGAACGAGAGAGAGAGACAGCACACACGAACGAGAGAGAGAGAGCGCGCGCGAACGAGAGAGAGCGTGCACGAACGAGAGAGCGCATGTGTGAACGAGAGAGAGAGCACGTATGCGAAAGAGAGAGAGAGCGCGTACGCGAAAGAGAGAGAGAGCGCGTACGCGAACGAGAGAGAGAGCGCGTACGCGAACGAGAGAGAGAGCATGCGTGAACGAGAGAGAGCGAGAGCGCGCGAGCGAGAGAGAGAGCATGCGTGAACGAGAGAGAGAGCATGCGTGAACGAGAAAGAGACAGAGCATGAACGAGAGAGAGAGAGACAGCGCACACAAACGAGCGAGAGAGAGAGCGCGCGTACGAGAGAGAGGAGAACGCGAACGAGAGAGAGAGCGTGCGCGAACGAGAGAGAGAGAGAACGCGTGAACGAGAGAGAGCGCGCGCGAATGAGTGAGATAGAGAGAGAGCACGCGCGAATGAGAGAGAGAGAGCACGAACGAGAGAGAGAGAGGGCACGCGAACGAGAGAGAGAGAGCACGTGTGGACGAGAGAGAGAGTGCACACGAACGAGAGAGAGCGTGCACGAACGAGAGAGAGCGCATGTGTGAACGAGAGAGAGAGCGCGTATGCGAAAGAGAGAGAGAGCGCGTACGCGAAAGAGAGAGAGAGCGCGTACGCGAACGAGAGAGAGAGCATGCGTGAACGAGAGAGAGCGCGCGTGAACGAGAGAGAGAGAGGGCACGCGAACGAGAGAGAGAGCACGTGTGGACGAGAGAGAGAGTGCACACGAACGAGAGAGAGAGTGCACACGAACGAGAGAGAGCGTGCACGAACGAGAGAGAGCGCATGTGTGAACGAGAGAGAGAGCGCGTATGCGAAAGAGAGAGAGAGCGCGTACGCGAACGAGAGAGAGAGCATGCGTGAACGAGAGAGAGCGCGCATGAACGAGAGAGAGAGAGAGCGCGCGAACGAGAGAGAGAGCATGCGTGAACGAGAGAGAGAGCATGCGTGAACGAGAGAGAGAGAGACAGCGCACACAAACGAGCAAGAGAGCGCGCGTACGAGAGAGAGGAGAACGCGAACGAGAGAGAGAGAGCGCACGCGAACAAGGGAGAGAGACAGCACGCGTGAATGAGAGAGAGAGAGCACGAACGAGAGAGAGAGAGGGCACACGAACGAGAGAGAGAGCACGTGTGGACGAGAGAGAGAGTGCACACGAACGAGAGAGAGAGTGCACACGAACGAGAGAGAGAGCGCACGAATGAGAGAGAGAGCGCACGAATGAGAGAGAGAGCATGCGTGAACGAGAGAGAGAGTGAGCGCACCAACAAGAGAGGGAGAGCGCATACGCGAACGTGAGAGCACGCCCGAACAAGAAAGAGAGTGCGCGCGCAAACGGGAGAGAGAGAGAGTGCACACGAATGAGAGAGAGACCGCGCGAACATGAGAGAGAGAGACAGCGCACGTGAACGAGGGAGACAGTGTGCGCGAATGAGAGAGAGAATGCGTGCGTGAACGAGAGAGACAGCACACGCGAACGAGAGAGAAAGAGAGCACACGCGAATGAGATGGAGACAGAGCGTGCGTGCGAACGAGAGAGAGTGCGCGCGCGAACGAGAGAGAGAGAGCGCGTGCGAACGAGAGAGAGAGCGCGAATGAGAGAGAGAGAGCAAGTGCGCACAAACGAGAGAGAGCGCGCGCGAACGAGAGAGAGAGAAAGAGAGGGCAAGCAAATGAGAGAGAGAGCATGTGTGGACGAGAGAGAGAGCGTGCGCGTGAATGAGAGAGAGAGAGCACGAACGAGAGAGAGAGAGAACGCGTGAACAAGAGAGAAAGCGCGCGTGAACGAGTGAGAGAGAGAGAGAGCGCGCGCGAACGAGAGAGAGGGTGGGCACACGAACGAGAGAGAGAGCACGTGTGGACAAGACAGAGAGAGAGCATGCGCGTGAACGAGAGAGAGAGACAGTGTGTGCGAACAAGAGAGAGAGACAGCACACGCGAACGAGATGGATACAGAGCATGCGCGCAAACGAGAAAGAGAGCAAGCGCGCACAAACGAGAGAGAGTGCGCGAGCGAACGAGAGAGAGCGTGCGCGTCAATGAGAGAGAGAGACAGCGCGCGCGAACGAGAGAGAGAGACAGCGTGTGCGCACGAGAGAGAGAGAGTGCGCACGAACTGGAGAGAGAGAGAACACGTGAACGAGAGAGAGAACACGTGAACGAGAGAGAGAGCGCGCGAACGAGAGAGAGAGCATGCATGAACGAGAGAGAGAGAGAGCACAAACGAGAGAGAGAGAGAGCATGCGAACGAGAGAGAGAGAGCAAGTGCGCACAAACAAGAGAGAGAATGCACGAGCGAATGAGAGAGAGAGAGCACGCACGAACGAGAGAGAGAGGGCGCGCGAACAAGAGAGAGAGCGCGCGAACGAATGAGAGAGAGAGAGCACGCACGAACGAGAGAGAGAGGGCGCGCGAACAAGAGAGAGAGCGCGCGAACGAGAGAGAGAGCGCGCGAACGAGAGAGAGAGCGCGCGAACGAGAGAGAGAGCGCACGAGCGAACGAGGGAGAGAGCGCACGAGCGAACGAGGGAGAGAGCACGCGCAAACGAGAGAGAGAGGGCACGCGAATGAGAGAGAGAGCATGTGTGGACGAGAGAGAGAGAGCGTGCGCGTGAACGAGAGAGAGGGAGCGCGCGCGAACGAGAGAGAGAGAGCGCGCGCGAACGAGAGAGAGAGCATGTGTGGACGAGAGAGAGAGAGCGTGCGTGTGAACGAGAGAGAGACACAGCGTGCGCGAACGAGAGAGAGACACAGCG